CTCATCGTACCAATGAAGGAGTCGCATCAACACTCAAAATCACTCCGGCGACAATTGAACTGACAGTCAAGACAACATATCCTCAAACGGCAACTAGGATTGAGCTCTTAAATGCTGGACCGGACCGGTCTCTCTTCACTCCAGAGACACCTGTCTTTCGTGTGGAACATGACACATGCAAGGCCATCTTCAAAGTTGATGAGAGTTTTGTCGGAAACGGGATTCTGCATCATACCAATGCTACACCAGCTCCAACAAGCTTTTGGGATGTATTCTTCCCCAACTCTAAAGATAAGGTTACTTTGAACGTCGTCTTTCGCGTACACGTTGCTATTCCACATCCTCCGGATCTACGACACGGTCTGTTTAATAAATACTTGTCGGATGCTCGAATAGTAGCCAATTATAAATCAATACCAGTGTCCCAAGCTATATTGGCTTCCGCATCTCGTCTCGTGTTTCCCAATCCACCTTGGGGACAAGCAAGGAAACCAACACTAGTGTTGAATAATGTATCAGAGCTTGCTCTGCAAGCTTTTTTAGAATACGCCTATGTGGGTGATATTAGTGAATCGTCATCTATATTCTCTACTATCTTGAAGCCAAGCCGTTGGGTGGAGCGTCGAGAGTTGTACCAACTCGGTGATCAATTTGACTTGGATGGTCTTCCAGCTAGGATTGGAAATATCATTGCTAAGGATATTACTGCTGAAAATGCGTTTGAGATTTTGGAGTTTGCTGATAGGTATGATCGACACTCTTTTTCGCATGTGTTTACGGCTGTGCTTATTATCATGAAACGCAGCAGCATTTGAGCCTTACAAATTATCGATCTTTAGTTGCATCCATCGAGATCTTTACGATGCATGTATTTCCTACATTAAAAAACATTGGGAATATATGAATGATGCCATATTTGTACGAGTACTTGGTGATGCTGGCCGTCGAGTGGTCGATGAAATCTGGTTACAACAGCAAGAACAGCCAGAAGCTGCCGACGGAGAAGGCTCTGATATAGACTCTCAACAGGATGATTTCAACGACCAAGACGATGTCGCGTCTCAGCACTCGAATGACGAGCGAAATCAAGGAGGATTTGAAGATGCCATGTTACATCAGGAAGTGGGAGCCAACGAAGCCAATCACGACGATAATGCTTCGACTGCAAGCATAGTCTTGTTGGATGACGAGCTAGTGCATGTTATTTATGGAGGTCCAGAAGTATTGCAATTCTTTGACAATCTGGGCAATTAACATAGTCTGTTGGTTTTGGTTGTAGTGGTTGTATCGTCTGAGTTTCGTTGTTATACTGTAGTACTGGAACGCCTACTGGTATATGAATAGTATTTTGACAGAAGTCTGACTGAAACACTGAGTGACATTTCAAGGCCTGCTCCATGCTTGTGTGTTTCGAACGAGGATCCAAGGGTTTATGCTTCCGAGCTAAATGAGAATTTATATAATAACATATGAGAAAATGATGATTTACAAAGCCTCCCTATATGCCTCCATGAATTCTTCTACTCTGGTGATTTGCTAGCACCAGCAGTACTACCACTACTACTAGTACCACTTAAATGAAGAATTGCCTCCTCCAACAATTTACTACGACTCTCATTAAGTTCCACCATACGAGATAGCCTCCACAGTAACATCGTATTCGTATAGCACAAGAATCCCAAGGCAACGACCAGCATCACCACCATCAGTAAAACCATTGCATCCCGTTTATCATCTCTAAATGAAGGAGATCCAAGGCCAATGAATGACAAGAGTCCATCAAAAGAATTCCAAAATGTGTGTGGTATATACGGTGATTCTACTATCGTCCTAATACTTGATCGCCGTGGCGTCATGGTTCTAGGACTCGGTGGTACAGCTCCATCACAAAAATTGTTAGATGACTGTTGCTGTTGCTGCTTTACTTTTACGTCACATTCATCGCTATCCCCCTCCTCTTCGTCCACTTCCTCATGATGCACAAACAGCCTTTCAGCACGTGGATTACGATTCAAAAAATCTCGTATAGATAAATCCATTTCTTGCCAATATCCTCTGATGCTCATTATAACGGTGGTTTCAATAACACTGCGAATCAAGATGGATTTCGAGAAATCGACTCGACCACTGACTCGTAATCGTACACGGTTGGGACCATGGTGGGTCATACATATTCGAACTACAGTTGTAAAACAGTTGCCGGATGGGACATCCGGAGAGGATGTAGTGCTTATAACACACACCATGTACTGGCTACAGCCTACAACTTCCTCAAATCCTTCGACTCTAGTTTGTTTTGGTCCTGTTCACAAACGAAACTGTTGGATGAAGGTTTTTGATATAATAATGAGATAGTCGGGGCGCATATGCACCGCATCTCCAATACCGCAAAGCAGTCTTACCTATGGGGCCACTGACTGGCAAGACATACTCCAGTTTGCGGAAGAATCCTTTACTGATCAAATTCATATGAGGATCAAAACACTCGCTATTACTCTCCCGTATAGGGCGTAGACTAGCAGCTTGATCATGCGGAACCCATGGAGTCAGTGTCAAATCTGATATGAAGGCAAAAAAGTAAGTCATAGTGTGGTGATTACTGCATCAGACTTCGAACTATTACATCTTTCTCCAAAACAAATCTAATGGTACACACCTCTAGCCTTTCGCTTGTTCTCCAAAAACTTGTGCATAAACGTCCTTCCAAGTTCATCATCATGCTTCCCATACCCTCCAAACAACAAACTCCACATGACATCGACGCTTATTGGGTACACCTGATCCAACATTTTAGACATTGTAGAATGTGACTGATGGCATTCACATAGCACAGGCCCAACAAATGATGATGAAGAAGGAGCTCGAGTTCTTATGGGACTTGATGTAGGCGAAGATGGTTTCAACAACGGTGATAATAAAGGAGTTTCGTCAGTGGCAGCAGCATCAATAGCATTGTACGAGGGTGTTTTACGAATGGTGGGAGCTTCAGTTGGTGGGGGTATAATAGAATTGGGTATATTCCGATTGACTACGGCTTCATCTGGATGCATTTGAACCGTCTTGGCTCGTCGAATTGGATCTATATCGTTTCTGACTTCGGTTGCTGGCTGGCCGCCCCACCCAAACACGTTGCCAGTTGATTGTGAGGCTGATAATGCTCTCGGTCGACTCATACCAATAGAGCCGCTTCGAGATAGATCCGTCATGCTATCGTTGAATTTTAATAATTCTCGTCTGCGAGTTTCTGGTTTCAAATGCCGTATCCAGAGTCTAAACAGAATATCGTATGTTGCGTCTCTAGTGGAAATCATGAATGAAAATTTAGTTTTGAAATCAAGAGCGCACGTAAAGCAAGACGGCGTTTCTAATAACAAACCTGTGTAATAAGGAAGCAAAGAAGTGACGGGTCCCACAAACGTCAATTTCGATAGAGTTTGGAACAATATAGAGTACTGCCTTTCTCTCGACTGACTGAATGTCCCTGAAGGGAACAATAAGTTTCTTTCCAACTGCCCAAAAGCACACGTGAGAAGTAGAGCAATATAATCGACCATGCAAGAGAAAGCCCTTGTTATTGTAAGCAGCCGAGTATTCTAAAGTACATGATGGTTAGTATAGACCCAAAATAGACCGTACAAGGGGACATCCGCGTTTCAGCTTGATCGTTTCCGGTACCTTCTATAAGCCTTTCATCTCTCTCAATCTCTGGAAACGTCTTGTGGAAATTCGAGTTTGCATAGTCTGATGCGGGTGCTAAATCACCTCCATCGTCCGATCCATCTCTACTATATTCATCCGCCCTCCGTTTCCGTATTCGTAAACCAACACTAGCCTCAGACGTATTTGGATGAAAGTATAACGCTCTAGGAAGCGAATCCTCGTCTTGATGAGAATCCAGTGATCGTCTTCGGGGATCATTAATGTTGGAAGGCTGTAGCGGTGTCATTTCACCCTGAGGATTTATAGATGGCATACGAGCAGATCCATGAGGCGACGGCGTAGATTTCCTAGTAGCGCTGGGCTGCTGAGGACTTAGAGACAATGTGTCAGGTTTGCTGTGTTTACGGCTTCCAGATCGAAACGGTGGAGAAGATGATCCGGGCGACGTAGAAGGCGATGCAAGTGAAGGGGATAATGGAGAGGAAGATAAAGGCGGCGTCCCAGAAGAAGCTGGAGGGGTTGACGACAAGAGCTGTGACAGTGTTCTTTGATGCCCATTTACAAAGACTGGGTTGTTTTTACTTGAAGACGAGGGTGTAGAGATCTGTATAGGCTTTTGCGAAAACGGTATAGGTTGCTTGTCTGCTCCAGATAATCCGGTGATGGGTGTACTGACACGCGGCGGAAGTACTTTTTCGGTCCCTACTAGAATACATATAATGAGCGACCGTAGTAAAACAGGAATTGTATCAAATTGTGGGGTGTAAAATTTAGCTCTGACTATAAATCGGGTTCGTTTGGTTTACCTTCAGAAGACTCTTCACTTTGGTTTGATTTGCTGGAGTTGACGGAGATCGAGTCTGAAGATTTCACCAATGGAGAGCTCGATCTAGCTCTCAGCGGCAGTCCTAGAAACTGGTCTTCTTTTGCCACAGCTGGATGCCCATGAGTTAGATCTTGCTCAATACTGCTGTTATTCAGCGGCAGTTGATGTAAGGCTGGTGATGGTTCTCCCAGCATCGCTTAATGGGACCTCTGCTCCAGCTCTGTAACTTATTATACTAAAGGTCCTGTTCACTGGCAGTATCCCGTTGGTCTCCTTTTCGCTTTGGGAGCTTGTGTGTTGAAATTTCAAAGTTAGTTTTTGTCCAGCCAATCAGAATCAACCATGTAGTTGGCCAGCCAAAAACCTTGGAACGCTTTTAAGAAACCCCAAGGAGAACGAGAAAAAAAGTCACATCAAAAGAAACTAGTTACAAGGCCAGCAATCGAACGTGAAGCAAATAAATAACAACTGGTTGTAATAAAGTTAAAAAATGCGATCCAAGTACAACGAATGTTCATAGAGTTGTAATATCAGTAACAGTAGAGATGATTCCAGCTTCATCGTTACTGCTGGTCGTACTATAAGTGCGTTCCACTTTCTCTCCATTGATGGTATAAAACGTGCACTTCCCACATTGTCGTTTTTTACCAGTTCCCTAACATGGCATCGAGTTGTCAGTCACTTTGAATCTTTCGTTTCAGCAAGAAGGCTCTTCCCGCTAGTTCCTTTTCAATCTGTCGTTTTCAGTATGACTCGACTTGACGTACTCACCTCTTCAAAAGTTGCACAAGTGTCAAAAGCTGGGGTATAAAGGTGAAGAGATATGGCAGGCTTATCTGTCAAATTGGCTATTCGATGCAATCCAATCTTGTCTGTTTGAGAATAATGCGTTTCGTTAGTCCGAATATGTGTGTGTCTATAAAGGATTACATTATGTCTGTACCATGCATATAGGTAACGGCGTTGGCTGAATGATGGAATGTTTCCTTGACTTGCATTTCTTTTCGTGTATTCTCATCAGGCCAAGAGTATCTCATTTCTGTAAGTGTACCATCCAGCACTTTCAAGATACAGTGAGAGTTGGAGTGGTCATGAATTGGGCTTTGTAATACGAATTTGATGATGTTAGCGAATGAATGATGTTACGGAATTGACCAAAGCTCAATCATTTTCCAACGTTTAATCCTAGTCACCTGAAAACATTTGGTGGCCTAAACAAGCAGACGGTATAAACAAAAGTTGCATTAAACGAGACCGTACGATAAATCGGCTTTACCAGCATAAGACCATCATGTTGAACAAGCCATTACCGTCATCAACGAGATTTCCTAAGTAAGCATATGGAAGAGCAGTTTGCATATAGGATATTGTGCAAGTTGCAGTTTACAAGACATCTGATGGTGGCTTACGAGTGTACTTGTTTGGATCAAAGTGGCAGTATTGTTTCCAATCTGACTCGTTTGATTTGTACAGCTGAAAGAGAGACTGGATGGCAAGAGGGTCGACCTCGGTTGACTCCAGCCCGCCATGAGCAAGTTTGAGGTGCATCTGTTTGCATAATTCGGACAGGCCGAATGATATATCTTTTGAGAGTGTAGTGTGTTTGATGCGTCGGTGTTGACGAATGTTTGCAGTATCTTGTTGGTGCTGGAGGGATTGAGAGGAGACAGGCGGGACCATGTTGTGTATGATGTATAGAGTGTATAATTTGGATGTCTTGGCCTTGTCCTTTAAGAAGAGGAGCACTGGTAGTGTCAAAGATCAGATAAGAAGCTGTCACATGTGTGGGAAGAAAGGTCAGCTGATGACAGATATATGCACGAAGACAATCAATACGAAGAATACAGATACCTCTGTAGGTGTCCAAACAAATCAGGTTGTTGACGTTGTTGCTGTGGATTGTTGTGTGTTTAATTGTTGCAAAGCGTCAATTCAAGGAATTCAAGGAGAAGAATCACGCTGAGTGTGTTGCCTAGCACGCGATAAATGATGAATTCACTACGGGAGTATACTCTATTGCTCGTAACAATAGTCGGAAATCGCGTTCTATGAAAGAAGCGGCAAACGACGAATTCATGTGACCACAATGAACTCGAGTTTCGACGCATGACTACAGAGGAAGGAGCCTGAATTTAGTGCCCTCGTTGCAGTAATCCTACTGGAACTATTAGAACTGCTGCACCGACCCCACATATAAACCATCATTACTACACAAATATCTTGACATTTTCCCATTCTTTGCTGCTCAATAACGACAACCCATGGCGCCTCTGGCCTCCCTATTGAAACACCATATATCCATGCTTGCTCAGCTCTCGTCTACTTCCACCATCTCCTTGTCTACCATCATGCTCAAGCCAATCCATCAGTGGCCACGATTCTCACTTCCAACTGCCGTCAACTGGACTTGGACTCCCTTATATGTCATCCCACACTCTTGGTCTTTAGCTCTCGTAAGTCCTTGCTGCTACAAACACTACCCTCCCGCTTGCCTCTTGCTGCCCATCGCTAACCTCTCTCGACACAACCAACAACAGAGCATATGTGTGCCCGTTTATCGAGGTTTGCTCCATTCCGCCAGGAAATCATTGACCGCCATGAGAGCTGTAGTCGCAATAGGAAACTACCTTCATTCCATCCCAAAAGGAGTTCAAATCATACACACAACCATACAAACATCGCCGCTCGCAATTGTGAACGAAATACCATCTGACACACACTTTGAGATACCAGCTGAATGGGTCATAGCTCCTTCTGCTCGTGGAAAGGGTATAAATGATAATGTCATCCTATACTTTCATGGGTAAGTATTCTACCTGCTTGTCATCAGCACTTATCCGCGATGTGTTGACCAGAACTCTTACAATCACTGTAGTGGAGGATACTTTCTGTCTGACGCTGAAGGACATAGGTCGTTGACTTGGCAACTATCTCAAACTGCCTCATTACCACTCCTATCTATATCATATCGTCTTGCACCCGAATCTACATTCCCCTCACAGTTACAAGACGCCATATCCGCATATTTGCATTTGATACAAGTAAACCCTCATAGAAAAGTATTTCTAGCAGGAGACAGTGCTGGAGGCGGTCTAGCTATTGCATTAGCTTTGTGGATCCGAGATCAATCATCACCAGCTAAAATAAATATCCCGCAGCCAGCAGCTATAGTCGCATTCGCCCCTTGGATTGATCTAAGCCATTCTTTTCCATCCTTCAGAAACCATGCGTCCATAGACTACTTGCCAGCTACGACATCAGATCCCAGGCATACTGTAGTTGGAAAGCGAACTCATTATTATACCTCCTCAGACCAACAATTACGTGATCCATTAGTCTCTCCTGTATTTGCACATGACAGACCAGAAAGGCCGCTACCCCCTATATTAATCCATGTTGGTGAAAAGGAACGTTTAAGGGACGAATCGCTTGCCTTTGCTCACTTTATGAAGTCATCGCCAATTCGAATAGAAATGTTTCAAGACATGCCTCACGTCTTTCAAGTAAGTTTGCAAAAGGATTGAACTTGCATTGGTTGATCCATTTGCTGGGTCGAGGGCTTGGTCTAGTGAAAGTCTTATTGATCTCGTCAAATAAACGAATGAGCCGCTTGGTGAAGTGGAAGGTCTCAGGTATGTGCTCTCAAACTCACAAAACACACCACTATAGACATTCGCGTCGATGGGTGACTCAATGGCCCAAATATCGTTACAAAGAGCTGGTGCCTTTATACAAGAATTATGTCTACAGAAAGATGATGCCGTGATACAACCTCATAATGTTAGAATCAACTGCAACGGCACCATAAACACCATGAACCTCATGGACGAGATCCATAGAGGCCATTTAGAATTAGAACGAACTGAACATGCTCCCAAGGGATTACAGAATGGACTCTCGGGGATCAGTGGTAGAGGATTAGGAAGTAAAATCAGTAATCACGGGTTGGCAATGTTTAGAGCACTGTGAAATATTTTAAGCAAGTAAAAGACATATTGCATTGACATGAAGTATGCGATAGATTGCATACAAATACAATGATGGACATTATACGTTTTGTCTTGCTTCGCTCGCAGTTTCGATGACTTTAGCAAAATGTGTTTTAATGAATTGACGCAAACTTGCGAAATCCCCGAACCAATCACCGAAAAACAATATTGACCCTCATCGTTCAGCATATCCGAGACTACTTAGGTGGATAGGTGGATTTTGGCCGTTGGATCCTGCCCCCAGTTTTCGCCTCGCCGCTGGAAAATGGACATGTCGAATCTCGAGCTCCTTGATGGTCCTTGGCACTTTTCTCGAGAGATCTCGAACGGAAACAGTTCATGGTACTGTCAGACTAGTCAATTACCACGACCTACTCCCCCATATGTTGCAGGCATCAAAGTCGAACGATATTTGAAGAATGATACTTGCAGTAGTATACAAGTTCCTCCATTTGAAAGGAGCGAGACACTACAAGGAGATTCTATGGTATGTCTGCGTTTATATTGTTTGGGCTCGCCATATCACGAACTCGTCGTAACCTGACGGCATTTTTTATTTTGTTTTTCATTCATGTCTAGGAATCGCGTTCTACCAACATGGCCGTCATGCTCCCCATGGATACTTCTACGGCCCTTGCTTGGACACCATCTCCACAATTTTTCACTTCCTCTCCTCTTGTGGAATCTTGGGCATCTTCCCTATTTTCTGATCCACCCCAACCTGTGTCCACCGTCTTTGCAACTAACGAGACGTCAACGACGCAATTGGACGACATAGGTGGTTTGAAGATGCACTTCTCTGAGCAAGAGGACTTTGTAACCCCTCGGGATAAACTTTCGGCTCCCATACCTGACGAACTTGTCCACGCCCCCACCTCGCATTCTATCCCTATGCCACTCCGTCGACGGGTAGACACCCACTCTGATTCAGCGACAACGTTCAAGCATTCGAGATGGACACCCTATCCTACGTCGTCATCTGCTGTTATTGCTCCGTGGGCTTATGAATTCCCTGGTGGAGATCTCAATCGGAACCTCCGTTCTTGGGACCTCAGATCCGACAATAATAGTCACTCCACTATCCATGTTCCTTCTAGTTCCCAATGCCAAGACGATTCTTTGACTATAAAAGCCATTCGAGGTGATTATCACCCCACGGAAGCACTGCTCCATCCCCCAACCACCAGCAGAGCAGAACCCCCACCCAAATCAACGACCCAAGACCCAGATGAGGCTCAATATCCAGTTTCCACTCAGTCTACCAGCCGAGGCATGTCAGATGAATGCCCTACCCGCAACGCATCAACATACGCAAACAATGACATTGTCGACAGTCTGTCTTTCATGGTTGCGGGATCCTTCAACTCTTTTGAAGGTTTTGCAGAATTATTGAATCCCAAAAGTCAATCCCTCCCTCCACCCTCTGTATTTTCAAGCTTGACAGGGAGCTCGGAATCGAGGCTGGTCACACCAAAGCCTGCATCAACCACAAAATCAAACAATTTGGATTTAGATGGAATAGAAAAGCCAAAATCTACATATGAGTCATTACTGAAGCAAGCGCTAGAGTCTAAGCCGGACAAGACTATGGCCCTTGCGGAGATTTATGAATGGATAGAGCTGAAATATCCATATTTCGGATTTCCCAAGAACGGTGGCTATAAGGTACCGAGAAGATACTTTGTTTTGCTTTGAATGACGAGATATGTTGGGCCTCTTCTTTTAACAAAAACCATAAAAGTAACTGACTGAATTTCTTTTTACAATGAATACAGAGCTCTGTCCGGCATGCACTCTCCCACTCCGAATGTTTCTCCAAAGTTGCAGGGAAGAAAACGCATTGGACAATGGATGAGAATGTGGCGAAATCCAAAATGGTGAAGAAGGACAATCAACGCAAGAAACGCCAAAAGTCTTCTCTCACAAGAGCAGATCAGTCTACCTCTCCTGAGGCATCTCTGTATGTGTACTGGGCATTCCATCGAGTTTTAATTGTGCTTCAAAACACCAAAAATAACAAACAATTTTTTGTTTCGTGTTTCATCAAACTAGATCGACTTCTAGATTGGATGATAAAATGATTCTTCCTACTCTATCTCGCTCTGTTCTGTCTCTTGGGCCTAGAACAAACCAAATCGTCGAGCATGATGATGATTTTCCATTTTTCACCTGGCTACATTGACACCAACTCTTAAAACCAATCTCAGTCGCTCGCAAGTATACAAGCAAGCACCGTCACTGTAGAATCTGTTAGTAAATAAAGTCTCCCTTGATATCAGCAAAAGTCGAAATCCAGCACTTGTGTTTTTTCTCTGCTTTATCTATCGTTTCATTTTCCAATGCCAGATTCCGAGATGAACTACTGTTGATCTCCCAGGGTGTCCTACATTGGTGCTGCGCGATCCGCAGTTCTTCCTTTTTACCGGTGATTTGGTTCCCTGTAACAGCCGAGAGCTGCGCATTAATTCATGATCGGATCCAACAAGACGACAACAACTCACACACACACACACAACTCGAGATTGAAGATCACCAAGATCTTTCGAAAAACATATAAGGTAAGATCGGGAATGTTTCGTGCCTGATTACGACCTGACCAACAATCTCAACATTTCCCCCGTAGCACGCATCTCTTGGACGTAACAATTCATCAATGAATTTAATGGACACCGAGTCGCTTTCAATTTCAGCATCTTTGCTTCAAGTGCCTGTCTACCGACGACGATCCATTTTGGCCGCCACAAGGAAGCATGTCACTGATGGTCCTGTTAATGAATCTAACGCACCCATGAATTCAGACTCTCAAGACCCAGACTATGAGCCTAGTGTGTCCAACGTGACTCTCCCTCGCTTAATAATCCAACGACCAGCCGCCGTGCGGTCTATCGGTAGCTATCCCACACCAAATTCATCGGCAATTGACCTCAATCCAACGTATGCTTACAATGAGCCTCGTAATGTCGAAACGTATCATGGATATATTCGTACAACGCAAGATGCCTTGTTGCTTATTGAGGCATGTCGAGTGGGCAAGCTCAAACGCGTTCCCGTAAGCCCACTGGTCTGAATCCAAGATCTTGAAAGGGTTTTCTAACACTCCCAACCCATAGCGTCGATTGACCGAGTCAGAGAGATCTACAAACATCAAGTCTGGAGCGGTGTTCATTTGGAATGAAGAAGAATCTGGTATAAAACGGTGGACTGATGGCATAAAGTGGTGAGTTGCAACTCAATTGCACTTTTAATTAATTTACGCAAACTAACGCAAACTGCGTTGATAGGACTGCTTCACGTATTAGTGGATCCTTTTTGGTATATCGAGAACTAAGTGTTAAATACAACGGTCCCAAGGGCACTCGTCAACCACCAGCTATCAAGGAAGGTGGACTTATCAAGAGAGCAATTTCTGTAACGGCTAGCGATGGTCGCAAGCACCACTTGGTATCTTATTACACTGCAGGAGAGCTTAAATCAAACTCTCTTGTCTATCCCAGCGATGACCCCACGTTGTCATCTGTAGTAGTTGCTACGGATCTCTACCCCGAATTCACCGCCCACACGCCACCAGTAGAGACACTCACGCCACGTACCGAGCTGTCACCAGTAGATCCACGTGGCCAGGATCCATCCACGAACAGAACCATGATGAACCTCTCGGGACGTAGAACAAGTGAGGCGATCAGCACTCAAGATCATCGTGGTGTCGGGCCCATACGCCGTCAGATGCACCCTGTGAGATCAGCTCCATACAATTATGCACCACCAAGTCCCGTTTACTCTAGTGCTGCTGCCGCTTACTCTGCTCCTTCTGCCTACTCCAGTTCGGAAACTCATATGTATTACCTTGCACACCGAGAATCGTGTCCTCCACCGCAGCTACCACCTTTAATGCATCAGCAGTACCAACCAATGTATTATTCGTCACAACCGCCACAGTTTGGAATGCATCTGTATGATAGGCCGACGACGCGTCACCAAGGGCCATCAAATTAAAGATGAGCACCAATCGTAACTAGTGCTGGCTATTAAACCGTTATTTTAAACCCCCAAAGAAAATCGCAGCTAAACCATAATCAGTAAATAACAAGATTACTTTGGTCATGACTATTTATTAATACACTTATCGTCCAGATATAAACTTGAATCGCCTGCAAAACCGATAATTTTCAGAAATTTCGACTTTACTGCTTATTATTAAACTCTTCACTCTCCCAATTCACACGTTGAAACATTTCACAGTCCATCTCACCTCCTTGTACAAGGAATGTTCGAGGAGTGCCTTTTCGACAAGTGCTTCTCCAAGCATACCCCATGCTGAAAGATGCAGCACTAAGGAGTTGGGAGAGAGAATACTCAGAACTTGATGACCTTCCTAGTGCGTCACCGAGTATAAGTAAACCAAAGTGCCCACGTCAACCATACACAAGTAAGTTGATCATAGTAGCAGAGATGGTAAATCCAATGTTCCACCAGTGTTCAAGTTGATTATCGTAGCAAAAATTCCAAATCCGCTGTTCCAGCAGTGTTTCCAAGTCCCTCAACGACTACATGTGAAAATCACTTGAACGAAAACACGATTTCTGATGTACAATGACACGAGGATAGCAGGGAGGCACGTAAAAGGAAAGGCCGAGCCGATTATTAGCCAAAACTCGAATCCCATCCGATTGTTCTGAAAGTAGTGGTTCTAGAGGACCGTGTTCAAGATATAGCGAATGAGCCAACTTATTCAAGCTTGTGGGAATTCGATACCATTGTGCTAATGAATTTCCTTTTCTACGCTCATGATCACTCCGATTCGCCCATGAGCGTCGTGCCTTGATCGCTGATGTCGTGGCCGTGCTTGTAACACATTCTTTCGACTCTTCAACGAAAGGCACAAGCGAAAAGCCATGACTGGTTTCCCCATATGGACATTCGCGTGACACTCCATTACATCGATCTGGTATACTATGTGACATCAGCTCCCTTTTAGAGCTTGCGAGTGGTCTGAAAACGTCTGTGGCTGTCACAAATATTGAACAAGAACCGAAACTCTCGAATGAGGTATTTTAGAGACACTGCTTTGAGAGGGAGGGACTGCAGTTCTAGTCAAATACTAGTAAAGTATCTTATCGCATCCGGATGTGGTAGATTGATAGCTCATCTCCTCGTGGAATTCCACATCTGAAAATGGAGGGGCTTTTGTTCATGCTCATAGTGGGGGTACTTGACGACGGCTGATGCAGTGGACTATGACATCTGCGTACAGGAGGCCTCCATTGCTGCGGTGTGGAGCTGACGGAACTTACATCGACTTCAGTTATACATTGTTCGTTGGATCAGTCGTTGAATTGGAAACTCACTCATTGTGTAGAGACTCGCTCTACCCGGCTTATTTTACAAGCCCCTTTAATATTTTAGCGGTTGGTCGGCTTCTCAAAGATGGAGTGGGTCGTGAACTACAGCTGAACCAGCTATTCACTTGTCGTTTTCTTGGAACTCGACTGTGCATAAGTAGTACTGGTCCTACTAAGTAGAGATGGCATGGGATATTTTCTTGAGATCTGCAAGTAGATATTGCTATATAGAGAGATGGAAATATGCATTATGTCATTATGTCCAAACGTGAATTCGTCGCTAAATACGTGAACGCCTAGAACATAGGACGTCCATACCAATTGCCAACGAACGCACAAAGGTCGCTCAAACGTTTTCTCAGCTTATGTTGGTTTCATTTTACAAAGGCCACTTTGATACAAACGTCTATCCATCCGCAGACTTGCAGCACACCACACAAACTTTCAATAATCTCGCAGGGTAGTAGAAGGTTGATTTTTAAGGCCTTCCTATTTCGAGAGTCTATAGTGGTAAAACCAGTGAGGATAAATCTGGGTGATCTGCTAGTGGGACTGTTTGAAACAAATACACAAACAATAGTTTGGTCACCTGCTGTTGTTGTGCACTGGAACGATAGTACACAGTATAAGGTCAAATTTCAACAATGATCACGGTAATAAATAATAATACTTATAATAGGGCACTTTCTTACCTGTGACGAGAGTATACGGTATAAATTATAAAAGTCAGAGTTTGAAAGGCAAGAAACACGCCTTGCAAACCCTTGCTTTAAAAACTGTCGAACAAGTCCAAGTAATAGTCATCAGTGCTTTTTTTACCATAAATCTTGGCATTGACATTGATAAACTCCCTCCATCTCCTTCGGTCATTGTATCAGATGTGATTAAATCACTGATCTTGATGTTTTGCCGCTGACGAGACTTTGACAGATATAACCGCGACCGGGTGTGGGTTCTGGGCAGGCTTGCCAGGATCCAGTCGGAAATTACGCGGATTATGATGCACGAGTATTCGTGACGAGTTGCTGCTAGACGTATGATGGAGAACCAGCCGCGCCTGTCAGGTGGACAGAAGTCGTGTGCTCGTGCCGGTTTGGTTTGCGTCGAAAACCCCGCTTCATTCATTTTCATCATCATCACTGCACATCCGATCAATCATTTCCCACAGCAGCAATTGCAAAATGGCAGAGTCAGAGACCAAGAGGTTCGCTTGCACCTTCTCAAATTGCGACAAAAGATTTCTCAAACGGGGTGACCTCAACAGGTATGTCAAGATCAAGGATTCTTCGGCACTTCAAAAACAATGAATTCACAAAGCACGTGGTGTCAACAGGCACGAACTCATTCACAAAGGGATCAAGCCATATAAATGCGACCAATGTGGGAAATCATTCGTTCAGGTACGTAACCAAAAGTACGATCTGTGATCAATTATGAAAGTACTCCTTTTTAATACTTTATCATTTCTTTCATGCAGAAAGCAGCTTTGCAGGTAAGGTTTACAAGAAGTGCTTACCAAAAGAGGCGCAACTTCGTGTTCTTTTTGAGTCTCATCGGTCGCTATTTCAGACAGGCCTTTCTGTTTCATATGAACATCTAACTGATCATCTTCCAAAAATAGACACATGAAAGGACGCATACCGGAGAGAAACCCTTCAAATGCCAATACTGTCACCGAAAATTCAGCGATCCCTCACAATTTTCTCGTCACAAAAAAAATGAACATAATGATGAAGCTTCAGCTGATAAAGATGGTGACTCCTATGTACCAACTCTACGAGCACGCCAACAACGCTCTCGCAAACTGAAACGTAAGTCTGGGTGTTTTAGAATGAGCCGACGAAATGTATGATCCTTTAATCTTTTAGTTGTTGCTAATTACAAATTTTTACGTAGTGCGAGCCACGACAAGGGACGACGATTTCTCTGAACACTCTAGCGAGGAAGCATCTTCAGCTCCCAGCACCGCTTCTACTGAAAGCTCAGATAGACGACTCTCAATGGAATTATATTATCCATCACGTCTTATGCATGAAACGAACCCCAACGTGGAGCCTGACTCGTCTCCACACCAACAACCCGAAATTTATACAAATGGTCAACTCCCCAGCCACTCCCACGCACCAGACACTATACTAGCAGACATCCTTCCTGACTTTATCCAATGGAATCCAGATGGCACCCTTGTCATCCCAGGTTTTGCTACGGATGCACAGTATCCCAATGATAGCCACGTCAACGGGCTTTTAGCCCTGGACCAGTTCTGTTTCGAGACCGGCCAAACGGAATCACTGGCAAACCTCTTCCTCTCGCAGTGGACGACCTTCCCCGTGCAATAGGTGACAAGGAACATCATGTCACTTATACGCAAAGTCAAAACGAGCAATCTAAGTTATAAGAAGATTTTATGAAACACTTGTAAAGCTAGAAGTCCTCATGAATAGAATAGAAACTGCAGTATTACATTCCAACGTCCAAATGCTGCCTCGTCTTACTGATTAGGGACATATTCAACTTCATCGTCATCAACAGGACTGTTTGGTCGAATAGTCATTGTTGGGCATGCACACCGTTGACTGTTAAAATCCTTGCCGACACTGCTTCCATTTACGATCGCGCCTTGGTTCAAGTCGAGGATCTTGGTTGGACCTACAAGAAGGTCGATCAAATTAAGCCCAAGGCTTCAAACACAAGCGCAACAGCATCAAGGCTCAACAACGCACGAAAGAGTAAGGTTCCCCAAGTAGATTGCTAGATCAGCCTAGTATTAGGCGCTCGAGTCAATAGCCAGCAATAACGTCCACCCAAATGCGATTTTCCACGGTTTTGAATGGAGATGCCCCCTGTTCTGATCAGACACGTCTACTTGCAGTACTCCTGAATTGTCTTCATCTTGAGTGCATCCAATAGCTAGAGCAGGGCGTCCAGAATTGTAGTTGGTAGTCTGTCCAGCTCATGCGCTACCAACATCTTTTCGTCATCTGCAAACAGAGCACACAATTGTGAATGGAGAGCAAACCAGTAAGATCATGAAGCAGGAGGAAGTAGCGATCTTCTGAGTCAAGTCAAACGAACGGTATTATCGTTGTCTCACCTCCAGAACGACACTAGATCTTATTTTGTCTCTACCAGATGTTTTGATTTCTGATCGAGACGTCAATGTTTAAGCAAGGACCCCCACTGTGAACGAAGGCCTAAAAGCGTCAGTCGATGTTTGTAAATCGCGCCGCGGCCAATTGCATAAAGACTTGTGCCTTGTCTATCCGGCTTTATGAAATTTACATTGCTTCTGATGATTAAAGAAAAAGACACATGTGTCGTTTCTGCCATACATGCCAACAATACTACCCCACCAATTACTGATTACTTGTTCTCCTTATTTTAATCTTATATTTACGCTTGCTTCCTTGTTCGTCGACCTCCTCCTCAATTCCTTTTGCATTGCAATCAATACTCATCAAAACACAACCAAAACTCCACCATTCTACCTTCACCCATAACCCTTCTCTTCTCCACACGTCTGGTATGAGACTTATCACCTCTGAAATCCCATCCAAGCATATTCAATTGCCCTTCATAAGCAACTGATCCAAATATAAGTGAAGCATCTCGTGATATTTCAGCAAATTTAAGTTCTCGTGATGGTACTGGCAGTGTCGTGTTATTGTTATCAGTATTATTATTGTGATTAGCGGGGTTTGTAAAGGCCAAGGTTGGATGTTTTAGTAGAGCATTTGATTCTGATAAAGTATATAAGAAGTTGCCATTGGTTGCGTCCCACGCTGCCAATTGATCATTCCTTGGACCATTAGTTAAGATGATGTGACCGTTGATGGCCAGCGTCATGGGAGCTAGAGCTGTATCAGCTGTTTCGTCTTCATTGTTGTTGTCCATATTGTCGTCTACCGTAATTGCATCAGCCGTGTTGAAATTATACAGCTGGGTTTGTTTCTTCATATCATAAACGTAGAATGATCCATCATACAGCCCGTAAGCTAATTTGTTGAATACGAGGAGAAGCGTAAGAAGCTTGTCTCACCAAATACGCAATGCAAATGCTTACCAACTAGATCTTCCCAAATCGCAACATTGAGAAGATTAAAGACATTGAGATGCTCTAGGTACTTGGACGGTATATCCACAGACAAGAGTGCATCACCAGTATCAGCTGACCATACAATGATTTTACCATTACGACCACCAGTTACAATAGATCGATGATGTACATTCATGGAAAAGATAAAGCCGAGATGTTCATGAGCATGAATTTCACGCTCAAACTTGTGATTTACGACATCCCAGACCATGATGGTGGACGAGTCATCGAAAGAGACCAGAGTTCCCTCTCCATTAGACAATATGAGACCAATAGCATTGCGATGACCATGTAAGTGAGTTGTTGGCTGTAATACGGGTGGTCTATGTACTATCTCGTCATCGTCATCTTCTGTTGTTAGAGTGGCAGTTGGAGATCCCATTTCGTTTACCAAGGGTTGATTCAGTATTTCTATAAAGTCTTGGACTACATCATTGACGCCCTGGGAAGCTTCAACTTGTTCAGCCTCCATGGGCTCAACCTTGACTATATGAATCACGTCGGGAGTAGCTACATCAACCCAACATACTTGATCACCAGCTAAAGCTACGATATACGCATCTGTAGGATCTACAGGCCAGGCCATTACATAGTTACGACGAGTTGACTGAGGGGATGTCACAGTAGTATCTTCGGGTTTATATCCAAAGTTATCCGGCAAGACGGTGTTCATATTAAAAGATTGGAAGCGATAGTTCCCACGGTGAAGATTCTTGTGAGTATAATAGTGATGTCTCCAATTGACAGCAGCTTCTGTCTTTTCCGTATGATGCCAGTCTCGTCGGGACAAGTGGCTCCACAACCAATTTTCATAGTGTGTAATCAAGTCTCTCCAGCTACGTGAGACTCTATACGCTTTGGACAATGTGTCATCATCCAAGTGCCTAAATATGCAAAGCAAGATGTCTTCTGGACATGTCTATCATTTGCGAAAATCATTATTAGAAAGTGGATGTGAAAACGGTTTAGCGAGATTGCGATCAAGCCACGGCAATCAAACAACGAACTCACATTGGGAAAGCATTTGGTCTCATCATCACCATCACATCTTGTCAAACTAACACCATCCTCCAACTCAAACTCCATTTCCTGAATTGGGCCCACCTCGGGTACAAAAGACTCATTATACAGATTACAGTCCCCAAATGGCAAGTCCATCAAGCTGGATGAAGAAGCAGACACATACGACGCACAAGATTCAGAAGATGACAAGGCAGGAGATGATGGAGTGCCGGGAGGAGTAAAAGACCGTGGAAATCGCATAGGAGATGAAGCTTCGATAGGGGAGTCGATGGAAGCAGTCTGGCGATACGCTAGATCCGTGATTAAGGGAGACACCCTCTTTGATCGACCACGAGAGTCCATTCTCAGTCGTTTCGAGTGTCTGACAGAGCCGTTGCTGTTGTTGTTATTGGGACCTGTATACTCCATGTCGTCAGCTTGAGTAAAGGAGAGAGCAGTGCTTATAGAGGAGGAGGAGGAAGCGGAAGATATAGATGACGTGGGGGATGGGACTAGATTTGACAACCACACTCTTGGCGGAGTTGGTAGTGGGGCTAATCCTTCGTCGTCAGAGATCTCTGAGGAGAGAATGGCTAGTTTTGACTCTAGGCTTGCAACTTGGTCGTCAGGAGTCATATCGGGATTGTCAAGTATGAACAAGTCATGAAAGCGTTTAGAGTTCTTTGTAGTCGAAGAGAGCATGTCCGCGTATGTTTGAGGAGGAACTATGATATTTAAGAATGTTAGAATGAGTTAAGATATAGGTATGAACAGTATAGTGCATAGAACTTTGGAAACAGGGAAGGAGTGTCAAGAAAAAGACGTTTTGGGTCTTGTTGAGCTTGAAGTACTCCAAACAGTCAAAAGATAAGAGGAGACTACGTACCGCAGATCCAGTTGGCCTAACAAGTAGCTCGCTTACTATCTAGCTATGGTGTTGGTTGCTTGTTATGCTTTCAACACTGAAGTTCCACCGTTAGAGGAATTAAGTTACAGGTTGTTGCTGTCGGAGGACAAAGTCGGTTCTTCTTTGAAACCCTTTCTTTGGTGCTTCTTGTTCCTACTTCGGCGATGGACCTGACTTGCCCTTCTTGTTGCGTTCCTCTTTCGTTCTTTGTGAATGAAAGACTTGAAAATATGAAAGCCCAGTCCAGATGAACAACCAATAAACCCTGCAACGATCCGCTAAATAAATACGTAATTACGTCAACGATGACTTACAATTTGTTGATTTTGTTGCCTCAGATTTCTTGTGTTTATTTTTTAATGTACAAATACGATACAAGGCCCAAGGACACTGCGTGTCCCTCAGCATAATGGACGCCAATTTAATTAAACAAGACCGTAAAGAGTCCATCAAGATTCAACCACCTTCAGCAAACACCAGCCCGGTTTTCAACTTTCCTGTTCATATTCTCCTGCGGACGTGTTGTCCCACCTGCCGCCGTGAGCCCAAAACCTGGACGGTAGGATAGAATCCCCTGTAAACTTGTCCTCGGCCCAGTCTGGCACACTCGTTTGATATGTCCATGATGGTGACTCGTACTAGTATGTGATGACGAGTGAGCTAATATACCAGCAAACAAACCGGAGAAGGACAAATATCAACATACCTTCCAAGCATGAAGCCAGATACATAACTGTTCAGGCAATGGATCTACACGTTTCACGATGCAATCAGCACACTTCCAGACATTGGCTTCTTCCTTTTGCCCGTGATCTGCAACACCATTCCTACTATTGATATTATAACTACTACTGCTGCTGCCGGGAACATGATCCATGGTATTGCTTATACCTTCTAGTTCATCCATTCGAAAATGTAGTGGATTGATAGGCATCTGGTCAGTCATACTTCGTAGGGCTACTTTGAGTTCAGTTCTACTCATACCACCTTTCCCAGAATTAGGTCCAAATGCATATGAAGCACTGTAGATCGGGTCATTGGCTATCGGGTGTCCAAGAAATTGCAGATGAACTCGGATTTGATGGGTTCTGCCCGTGGTAGGCTTACACAGTACAACTGACGTCAATCCATTATATGATAATCTTTTAAAGTTTGTATGACATGGCTTCCCCTCAGGATGTACGATATTCAGTGTCATCTTTTGGGAGACATTCAGTATAGGCTGGTGACAATCTATTTCGTCTTCTGGAAATTCTCCAACCACTCGAGTCAAGTAGTATTTTTGGATGAGATGAGACTCCAAATCTCGACTCATGGATTGTGATTTTGCCAGAGTTTTAGCAATAAAGCATAGTCCTGAAGTCAGACGGTCCAATCGATTTATTGCTACGAAAGTGTGGGTCAGCTATTTTGCGGTTAAGAAAGTGACATCGTTTGCAAAGCGCTTTTCTGGTCTTGTAAATGTATATACAATTGCTTACGATAGAGTTCTTTCTTGCCGAATTCAGGAGATCGTAATATCTCTACCACAGAGTTATACGTATACCGCCCTATGATGATTCGATTTGTTGTTGGATCATGTCATAGCTGCGTTGTGTGTACAGCTGGTTTACCAGTAGGATGAACCGGGAGGGAAGCAGGCTTGTCCACAACGAGCAGATCATCTGTTTCATCAGCGAGTGCCACAGATTGTGACAATACTGGAGGTTCATGTCGGTGAACCAAGTGAGTGACCTTCTCTAAATCCTTGAGAATGTAATCGGGTGCTACGACTTGACCATTGACCAAGATCTTGCCAGCTCTAATGGCACGAAGCTGGAATCCAAGGAATTTGGACATGGTAAGCTGATCAAGCAGGTCACGGTTGTGCTTCACAATCAGAGGACTTACATAATAATCAGGAGTTCCCAACATGAATTCATCACTAAATACGTCTATAAGTGTTCGTCCAACCCAACGACCCTTTGTTCTTGACTCGTACAAGTAATAGTACGGTTCTACTCTGCGTAGTCCATCTTCGAAAATGTAGCGTGGACCATCTGCAGAGTATTGCTTAATTTTTTGTATCCTAGGAGCTGGTCTGGGAGCATGTGGGTTTCGGAAGTGATGTTGGCCAACATTTCGTGGTGCTGCTGCTACAGCGTCAAATGTAGCTTGATTTCCATCATCATTGATGTTTATATGTAGAAAATCCTCATTCTCGTCTTGCATCACGTCTTCCTTCACTACCATCTGAGGCGAGATTTTGTTTGAAAGCAAACAAATATAGGTAGTTACCAAGTAAAGTTGTAGGATTCAACGGTAAATCAGACTGTATAAGCTGGATCTGTGCACTAGTAACTAGCCTCTTTTGTATTATATCTACTGCTTCTAATGAAGCTCTA